TACGTAAATACCTCGCCTTTTAGAGAAACAAATTCGTTGCGAATACATTCTCTGCATTTTAATTGATTCTTTATTGCTTGCAAATGATTAAGCGCCAAAAGCTGTACGTACACAATTATTTGTTTATGTTCATTCCATTCTAGCTTTTGGTTTTCTATTACTGTTTTTCAATTTGTTAAGCATTTATCGCTGCCTCCACTGGAGTGGAAAAATATGTTGGTCAAGCGATAAGTTGTAAAGGAAATGCGTACTACATAAAACAAAACCAATGTTTATATATATATATATATATATATATATACATTTATATTTACAAGAAAATGACTTCGCTTATCAACTCCAACGATTGCCGTACATGCCCTTATGGGAATGTGTTGCACATTTGATTTCTGAATAGCAAATCGCAGGCGCCGCGATTTTGAATGGCAACGGTCACAATTTGCATACGAAACGCATTGGCCAAAACGTATCTGATGGATACGCGACGCACGGACACAGAGCCAGCGGCAACTGCTTAATATGCATGCAGCACCAGTTGAAGGCTGAAGGCTACTGAAATCGATAGACAGCAGACACCACACGGCAACAACAACAACAGCAACAGCAATGGCTATTTTACAATGCACTTGGACAGTGTGAGTGGAATATGCAATTATCTTAGACTGCAAGATAGGCATCAAGCGAAGCTTCGAGAAGAGAACAAGAGAGAACATGGGAAAATGAGAGAACCATAGAGAGATTGGTTGAGCTATGGCTAGGGAGATAAACCGATAGTTAAACATATAGAGAGAGAGGGAAACACGCAGAAAAAGAGATAGTAACACAACCTCTCCGTAATTTGATTTACGGCTCTCATACATTTTTATTTTATATATCTTATATCTATAATATATATTTTATAAACTAAACATAAATCAATTTTATAATCGAATTTTCTTCTCGCAAAATCTAATAATAATTCTTGCTTTTCAAGATGGAAATATAGAAAATTGGCAAAAACTAAGCCGTACATTATAAATAAATGAATTTCGTCGTCCATGTTCATAGGGGTTTTTCCTAGATCTAATAATAATGCAACCCCTTGGACAACACAAAATGCGTCTTAAATCTGAATAGAGTAGAGTGCGGGAAATGTCAAGGAAAATTCACCGGATGCAATGAAATCAACAAGAGTTTTCGCAACCACCCGTCGCGTGGCTCGAATTGCCAACATCCTTGCCATAATCCCGAGGCGAACATGCGAGTTCTGGACTAATGCCACGTTCAAGCGCATTGCGAATGGCGCCAAGAAGTAGTAGCTGTCTCGCATCTTGGCAGCCCTCTGAAGGTCTCTGGCAATGGCAAAAATCGATGCTGGGATGCTGTGCAACAAAGAGAAAGATTTGCACTTAGGGTGCGACCCCAAGCGAATATATATATATATATGTATGTATGTATATACATAACTCTAATATACAATCAAAATGCGTTTCTTGACAACTTGGCCTTGAGCACATAAATCGCCGACGCCCCCAGGACCACGCCCGGTGCTTTAATTGGAAGCCGTTGTCGTCGCTGGGGACGCAATCTCTGCTGCCGCTGCCGCTGTTGCTGCATATGGAGGGGTGTGTGCCGCAATGTTAATCATGGCGCACACGTTAGCTAAATTAACGGCCCGACTGCAAACATTAATTGGAACTGCTAAAAGATATATGGGCCCAAGTTCTTGTCCATTTTTTAAGGCATTACATTCATGTCTGTCTTTCGTGAAACATAAAAACTCTTGTTTTGTGCTTGTCGACAATTTATTTTTAGCTATAAATGTTCATGTCATTAAAACTGAAATAGCTAGAAACGGCTAATAAAAAAGCTACCAAAACAAAAGACAAATAAGTTTAGAGTTGAGAGTTTGCTTTGGACTTTGGCTAAACACGGCGCGTTTCACATGCGAGTCAATGTCATGAAAACCTATTGAAAAACCGCCATAAAAAAAAAAAAAAAAAAAAGAGATTTGTTTACTTTAAATCGAGTTAAGTTGGAGGCATTGAACGATGAGTGGATTGGCAATTGGAGATTGGACAGTGTGAAGGAGTTAAAGGAGGAGAAACCTCGACCTAAAGACAATGAGATGGAGGGACAAGTGCCTGATGTGCGCTTAAGCAGCCGATCAACAACAATTTAAATATATATATAGATAGGAAGATATAAATAGGACAAGATGCACATACAATTATATAAGTAGAAGAAATACCAGATTTTAAAATGAAGGGAAGGAAAATTTAAGATTTATATAAATTACACAATAATTATAGTACAATATCTTAATTATACAAAGATAAAACTTTAATAGTAGCACATATTTTATAAATATATTATTATTATTTAGAATGTCTCTATTTAATTTTTATTTTTAATTAGTACCAAATTCCAATTACTATACAAATTATAAGACATTGCAATATTTGCTCATAACTTAAACATAGAAGAAATGTTTAAGCAGCTGAAATAACTGGCAAAAAATAAACAGCTGACAAACCAATCAAGAAACTTGAGATTTATGTGGAATAAATATCAATAAAAATATATGTAAAATAATTCTAAAAATCCAAAGGAAAATCAAGCTGCATTTCTATCATTTTGTAAACACTTTGACAGAAACTCGATAATAAATAATTCACATTGTCACAGCTGTGACCTACCCTAGGTCTAAATTTAGCCACAAAATTCTGCTGCCTACACCTGACTGCGGAACGTGTTTATCGAATCGAACATTCTTAGCACTAATCAATAAGTTTATTTAGATTATGGGCCAACGGGCACAGCAGCCCTATTTAATTACTAAACGCAAAGCCTGCCCTGGCCACCGCCCCCTCGCCCAAAACAGATTTTCAGTTGACAAGCGACTATTTTTAGCGTGTGCGAAAGAGATAGCAGAAGGTAGACGAGGGCGTCAACGAACCAAATGAAAGATAGAAAAAATAATAAAGAAAAAAGAAATTCACCTAAAATAACGACTGTTTTTATGACAATTTTATTTGATTTAATTTTTTTTCTGCTTTTTGCATATGCAAGGGGCCAAGTTGTAATGGACTTAAAGAGACGTCGGCGCATGCTTTAAATTTAATTAAAGTGAAAATTTTGTTCATAAGAAAAAAAAAAAAAAAAAAGAAAGAAAAGGAAAAAGAGTAGAAATGAAACAAAAATGCAAAGAAAGTTTTGTTGTTATTTCTTTCCTCGAGTGGCGCTTGGATTTGCTTTGGATTTTTTTTTTTTAGCTGCGGCTCGCGGTTTGGCTTTTATTTTGAATTTCTGATACTTATTTCTATTTTTATGCAGGCCTCGCAATTGACCCGCTTATTAGCCAGGCTTGAAGCTTGGAATTTGCATTAAATAAAAATAACAATATTTTCGTTTACGTGTTTAAATCAATTAAACGTATTTAAGACTCGCCTGCCTGCACACTTTCCTCTCTCTGTCTTTCCCTCTACCTCCCTCCCTCTCCCTCACTCCTCCCATGCTCTCCTTGCATGATATGCAAAATATTTTGTTTCCATGTCTCAAACAAAAGAAATGTTTCTGTTTTTTTTTTTTTTTTTATGGTGCAAATTGTTTATGCAAATTCTGAAATGTTTATGGCAAAAGAAATAACAATAATTGGCCACAGTAGCTACTGCTTTTTACTAATTTTTTTTGTGTTTGTTCTTAAACAATGAAACGCGATTGAGTTGTAAATTTCTGATTGACTGGGAGAAAACGCCTTGATGGATTCATCAATAGAATATTTGGACAATCAACTGTTGACGTCAAGGCAAAAAAGAAACCAATTGTATTCAACAACTATATATAAGTGAAAAGTTATGTGGTATTTAAATAATATTTAATATTAGTGGAAAGTATTTAAATACTAAAAATAAAGCCGAAAATCCGTATATGTATTTGTTATTGGGTAAATATAAATTTGCATATCTCTAGACTAGCGAGTGTTTGCATTAGCGAGCCTTTACTGTACTCTTGCAATTTTTCATATGTTATACTTTCATCCTAAATCCGAAATGCAAATAACTTCCTTTGCATTAGTCAGCTTTTAGTTTTGCAAACTATCAAAATCCGGAAATATTTCAATTGCAAAAAAGGTAAAGAGAAAGGGAAAGGGTTAAAAGCCAGTAGATAACGCTGACTGCGACTGTCTAGACATGCAATTTTATCCTGCCAGAGAGCAGAGCAGCGCAGAGCAGAGCTGCTGCGATGGCAATTTTACACACACACACACACACACAGACAGTCTGATAGTCTGACTGGCACACACCTACATAGAGATATACCGAGTTTGAGGGTGTGCTGCCGGCTGTCACGCAAAAACTACCCCCGAAATCGAAATCGAAATTGGAAATATAAAAAGAAATTGCATCGAACTGAATAGCAAGCAGTAGAAGGAAGCAGCCAAAGCGTGATAAGCACTAAAAACTACAAAGTCCAACCACCGCGCATAACAGCTGAAGCCGCAAATTTCAATGCAAAAGTGGGAGAAGGCGGGGGCGGCGCTCAGGTAAAACTCCAAAAAACGGGCGTGTCAGCAAACGAGTTAAGTAAAACTGGAAAAGCAAAAAAAAAAAAAAAAAAAACATCTGTGTGCCAAATGGCGGCAGGAGGCCGTGGAAAAACAGTTAAGAAAAAATCAGTTGACGGCTGCCTGGAACAGACCCAAAAATACAACAAAAAAATATAGAATTCAGCAGCAGCAACAAAAACCACAACGAGAAGAATTCCACGCTTGCGGCCCGCAATTTACATAAAACACGCAAAACCAGTTTTTTGTATCTTTTTTTTTTCTTCCGAAGTCATTCTGTTGGTCAAGAGAGAGAAAGAGAGAGAACAAAAACCAGAGCAAGAGAGCGAGCTCAACCTCGCGAGAACATTTCAAACATACGCTTGCACTTTAAGCTTGACGTACAACAAGCAAACAAGAAAAGAATAACACGAAACAAAAAATGAAATAAAATAAAATAACTACAACAACTTACCCATAGCTCAGTACCCCAACTCATTTTGTTGTTGGAGCTTGACGCTGCTGCTGCTGCGCTTTCTGACTCTGCCAGTTTCTGCTGCTGCGCTGCTTTAGCTTGATCCGTTTGCCACTGTTGTTATTGTGATTAGTGTTGTAAACAACGACGGAAGAGCGTGGGGCGAGAATAAAAAGAAGAGTAAAAACTGAGAATTTTTGTTTCGTTTTCGTTGCCTTTGCGTTTTTTCTAATTGTCTGTGAACGAACAACGATAATAACAACGACAGTAACAACAGCAAAAAGAAAAAAAAAGCGATTTCCAATTCTCAGAGTTTACACAACGACGCTTAATGCAGACGTGTCCACGGTCGCAGCAGCGACGCCGGCTGCGGCAGCGGCAGGTAGATCAAATGCTTAAGGAATTTGAATTGTGGAATGGGAAATGTTGAATGGTGAACAGGGAATGGGAACGGGCTCGAGTAGTTGATAGGACTCTCTAAAGTGCTGCCAATCGCCAACAAATAAAAAACAAATAAAACCGGCCACCGCCAAAGCCGACAGCGCTGCTGACGTCAAGAAATTTTTCGTGCACTGGCATTCACTGCAGCCTCACGAGACCGAAGAAAAAGAGAGAGAGACGGCGAGATTTTCAGAGCGTGGCTGCATTTCGTAATTGGGAGAGCGCGAGAGTCAATTGGAATCGAAAAGCAATCATTTATTTACGACTGTCGATACATTAATTTATTAAACACATTTCGCCGCGCACGCCTCTCTGTGATTGCATTTGCTATTAGTTTCAATATTAAATTTAAACGCTGGTAAACAATGAACCGCAATGGTTGCAACAACAACCATTCGATGCCAGACCAAACAATAAGCAAAAGTGCCTATTGTTGTTTTTTTTTTTACATAATTTTGCACACACACATACACTGGCGCGCACACAATTACACACACACATACAGCAACGAGCATAAACCGAGTGCACGCACTCTGCTTCTTTTATTCTGGGTTGCTGGTTTTTTTCGCGTATCGAACTGAAGTGCAGCGTTTGAGATTTTTGTTATTTTTGTCGTTGTTCAAGTGTTGCACAATATTTTATCATTTTGATATGCGCCTGCACTAAGTATGCGTCATAATTTAGGCGACACAAGCACACACACGAATTTAATTGTTGTTTTTTTTTTCTCGCGAAAACAACTGCACGCATATCCCGTAAACTCTTACCTTCGGCGATTCGATTGCAACTAAACCGAAGTTCAGCAGTGTGACCATATCGCGACTAGCTAAAAACACCAATACACAATCGATAAGCTGTGTTATCGATAGATATATGGCGAATTGTAAAGTAACGAGTGGTAACGAGTAAATGGAAAAATTTCTCCGTTATTTTCAAATAGTTTTCGTTGCATAAAAAAAACATTTACATTTTGTAACAATTACATATAATTTATTTATTTAATAACTAACTAAATAGCGGACATTCTTCATTAGTATTTTCGCAGTTTCCAGCTTGCGTCGTTAATTGTTGCATACATAAGTGCAATTCATAAATTTTGCATTAAATTATATACAGTTAGGATGCAATAACAATTACAAAAATTCATTTCAAATTGTTGCTTAAGCTAGAACAGAATATATATATATGCTTTTGTGTGTGTGTGTGTTTGCAGTCATTGGACATTTGATCCATTTGCTGAAAATGGTATTCATTCATTTTAGTTCGAGAGTATTTCGCAAAGATTCGAGACTTATTTGTTAATAAATATAAAATAGACAAGGTCAAATACTAATTTATATATCAAGCTAATATGTTGTGCCCGAACTGCTAGCTAATTGGCTCGTCCTCTTTAACTCTGCTGCAGCAGCACCTCCGCAGCCAGCTCCAAACTCCAGCCGGTCTGCTGCAGCGCCTGCTCGCATTGCGGCCTGCCGGCTACGCCCAGCCGAGTCAGCTGATCGATCTTATAGTGCCTCATTGCAAGTTGGACATCGCCGCTGGCGGCGCGCAACGCATTGCGCACATCCTGCTCAACGGCGGCGCTGCCCAGCTCAAGCATCAGCTGCTGTAGCTTCTCCTGCTCCCGCTGCGCCTCTGCCGGCACTGGCGCGTACAGCTGATGGGCGCCCTCGAGCTGCTGTTGCTGCTGCTGGCGCATCTTGTCCAGACGCCGCTGAATCTGCTGTGCCGAGAGTGGAGGCGGTGCCAACGGCGCCGGGCGATGGGGACGCAGATAATCATCCAGCGGCACCTCATCATAGATGGCTGCACCACCATTGGCACCATTGGGCACCTGGCCGTAATAGGCGGATCCGGCCATGCTAGCAGCCACGGGATCATAGCGCTCGCTGCCAGTGGCTGCTATGCTGCCATAGAGCGAGGCGCTAGAGGCATAGACGCTGCTGCTCTTGGGAGCCACCACCCGATTGGAGATGGCCACAAAGGAGTGATTCGTCTCAGGCTGCTGCAATTGCAGTGAGTGCAGATGATTTTGATACAGTTGCTCCGGCTGCTCGGGCGGCGGCTGGGCGTAATACTCGGAGGGCGTGGCTGCCACACGCTCATACCAGATGCGATTCACTAGACTCTGCGTGCTCGTGGTGGCGGCTGCTGCTGCTGCGGCTGCGGCAGTCTCCACATTGTTTTGTTTGGGTGTGGGCGAAGCCTGGCTGGCATTGGAGGTGGGACTGGAGTGATTCGAGTGATTCCCACTGCCAGCGGCATTCTTCAGAGGCGTGAGATTCTGCTTGTAGACGATCTCTTTGTTGGCATACATCTGCGCCGAGTTGCGCTGGTAATCCTCCTGCGCCTTGTTGCTGCTGCTGTACATGTCCTTCTCAAGCTCGGCTATAAAGGATTTGTCCAGCAACACGCTCTCCGATGAAGCAGGCGGCTGTTGCTGCTGTTGCTGCACCACCTCATGCCGCTCCAAGGAGAGATTGCTGAGATTATATTGCATGGCAGCGGACTCCAGGGCAGGAATGTTCTCCTTGTTCGCATGCCCATTGGACATGCCAAAGAGATTCTTGCGCGCGGCCGGACTGCCATAGATGGGAGCAACCACAGCCACTGGGTCAGGAGTTGGCGCATTCGAGTAGAGCATTAGAGCGCCAGCATTAGAAGCCTCCAGGCTGCTCGTATCGAACGGATCCCGTACGGGCGTCTGCTGCTCACGCTTCTGCTGCTGCGCAAACTCCATGGTGTTGGAGTAGGTGGGCGGCATTTGATAGGGCGGCGGCTGCAGTCGAGCGGGCGAGGCGCCGTTCGCCTCGAAGTCAAACTGCGGCTGTTCGTTGAAGTAGGTGGGCGTGTTGGGGCCCGAGGAATAGCTTGTGCCCGCACCACTCTCATTGAACGTCGGCACATCAATGGGCGCATCCAGCAGGCAGAAGCTACTGTCCAACTGCAGCGAGGAGCTGTCGCCCATACCCAAGCCAGCGGTCGGTCGCATCTCTGGCGAGATGTCGATCAGTATGCCCTCCTCCTGCTGGTGCGGCGGTGGCGGTCGCTGTGGACCCACCAAACTCTTCGTCTTGACCGCATTGCGCCGCTGCAGCCCAGCCGAATCGTTGACGAGTTTGTTGTAGGCGAACTGCTTGCTCGATATGGACTTGCGCTCCTTGGCATGTGCATCCTTGCCATGCGATGGCGGCGTTCCCTGCGGCTTCAGAGAGGCGCACTTGCGCTGTCGCTCTTCGCTGTTGGACAGCACCGCACCACCAGCACCTGCACCACCACCCCAACAAAGGCCAAAGGACGAGCCATGCGTTGAGCTGTTGCCGCGCATTTGAACCTCGTTCTGGCGACGCTGCTCCAGCAGGGCGCGCGGAAAGATGCCAATGTCGAAGGTGCGCTGATTTTGGCCCTTGATAAGCTTCAGCTCCGAGCGGCCATCGATGATGGCAATGGCATCGCCCGGCTCGATCTGCAGGCCCTTGGCATCATGATAGCTGCGCGAGGCGCGCATCACAGGCGGCGACATGCTGGCCAGGTATTCCCTGCAAGCGAGAGGATAAAGACAAAGATTAGCAATAGCTAAAGTGGATCTCAGCATAACCTACTTGAGTGCTGCGAACGTGGGCCGTTCCGCTGGCGTCTTGTCCCAGCACTGAAGCATCATGGCATAGACATCAGGAGGACAGGCATCCGGCTGATGCAGTCGCTCGCCCTCTCGGTCGATTTTGCGCAAGATCTGCGATCCGTTCAGCCCAACCCAGGGATCCTCTCCAAAGCTAAACATCTCCCACAGCGTCACACCAAACATCCAGGTGTCCGAAGCATGCGAGAATTGACGAAAGCGCAACGACTCGGGCGCACACCAGGGAAACGGCACCTTCTTGTGCTCGGACATTACATAGCAGTCGTCCTCCTGGGGCAGAGCACGCATGAGACCAAAGTCTCCAATCTTAATCTTATTGCCAGCGGCCAGCAGAACATTGCGGCAGGCGAGATCACGATGCAGAAAGCGCTTCTGCTCCAGATAGGCCATGCCAGTGACGATCTGCACGGACCAGTTCCAGATGTGGGTCAACGAGGTGTGGCGGCACTGCTTGCGTAGCGTGTCCAGCAGCGAGCCACGTTCCGCCAGCTCCGTTATCATCATCATGGGCTGAGAGAGCACCACGCCGTATAGACGCACCAGGTTCGAGTGATCGAGGGCGTGCATGGCCTGCACCTCGCGGAAGAAGTCATCGATAATGCCCGGCTGGGTCAGGTTGTCCGACTTGAGCACCTTGACGGCAACCTGGAGCACCTTGCCAGACGGCGAGGCACTCCACTCACCACGTCGCACCACACCAAAGGAGCCATCGCCCAGCTTCAAGCCCAGCGTGATGTCCTTCTCGTGGATCAGGCACGTCAACGCGCCCGGTTGCATGTGCTGCTGCTGCTGTTGCTGCTGCTTCTTGGACGAGGGTTGCTTGCCCCCACCGATCAGTTTCGAGAGTATATTCTTGCGCCACTGATGCGCCTTCTTCTTGCGCACCGCATCCATCAGCCGGCGAATGGCAGGCTTGCCCAGCCCGCAGCGCTCCAGATCGTCGCGCAGGACATAGTCAAAGTGCGCCAGCCTAGTCACCTGCAGATCATCACGTATGCGTTCCAGGAACTGCTCCAGCTGCACCTCGCGCAGCAGATCCTCCAGCCAAGCCGTCTCGCTTACGCCGCCGTCGCCACCCGCAGGCGAGCCCATTATTCGGTGTACTGCAAGAAGCATTGATCAAACGGGTAAAAGGAATTTGTAAATTTTAAAAGTTAACGGAACTAATATATGTATAAGCCAGTTTTAGGGCAGATCAGTTAAAAAAAAAAAAGGATGAATAAGTGTCTAGGCTGTAAGGAATAAAATTCCTATTTAAAACTTTTAAACAAGATTTTTGATAAGATTTGCCAATTTATATTTTTAGTATTTTTGTTGTTTTTGTATTGTTTTTCCTGTTTTAAATAAACTTTTTGTTTTTCAACAGAAAATGACAGAGTATTTAAAAATGACTTAAAATGGCTTTTTCAACATGGCAAATTCTAAAATTTACTTAAAATACCTTCTTTTGTTTTTGGTATTTTTCGCAACATTTTGACATAGTTTTCATATGTGACCATTCACTCTTGCAACAAGCTGCATACACTGAAATTTGTTTGTTTTTTTCTTTTTCTTCTTTCTACCTAATTGTGGTACTTCCCACGCTCACGAAATATGGGAAATTTCGATTTGCATGCCGCTCACGTATGCCCACTGTACGGAAACTCTTTGAATTGTTTCGAACATTTTTAATAGGGGTTGGAGGGGCGTGCCTTCATACTTGTTGCTTGCTTTGCTTCGCCTCGCCACGGTCTTCAAATGGCCGCAGCGAACTTGAACCCAGAGTGTCATAACATAAACATAAACATAAAGTACTTTGTTAGCGAAAGTGCTATATGACAGTAAATGGACAAACAGCAAATTAAAATTGCCGACGCATTGTCTCTGTCGGCGTCGGCGTCAGCGTCTGCGTCGCCGTTGTAGCTTTATTATCAATAGTAGCATTACGTCAGCTATAAACGGTGACAGCGCAAGTGACTGGCTCGACGCAGAATGCGACAGAGACAGCAACTGCGCTGCAGCAGCTGCATGCAAGTGGGCCATGCATGATGGAAGTGAGTGACAGAGAGAGAGGGAGAGGCGGAATGAGAGACCGAAACCGACACTAAGCAAATGAGAGAGCAGCCCCAACCACAGACAGAGCATTCGTGACGTCAAATTTGAGCTGCGACTGCGACTGCGACTGCGACTGCAACGAGTTTCAAAAGAATTCTCGGCGCGTGCTAAAGTTGCGGTTGCAAACGATAAGAGCCGGAGGTAAGTTGTTTGAGTAAGTATAGAATGAGTGCAGCCCGTATTTTTAGAGCCGCTGATAAAGATTGATTCCAGCGATAAGCTTTGCAAAAAAAACTTGAGGTTATAACGCCTAACAAACAAAGCCATTGAGCAATTACTAAGACGGAAACAATTAGTGTTGTAAAGCGGATACGGCGACACAGAAAAAACATACATTTTCAAACTGCTTGGAAAGTGGATATTCCACAAATTGGAATATTCAATTTTCACAAAGACTGCAATATTTCCATTTTAGTATAAAATAAAAATACTAATTTATATTTGTTTAAAATGTAAAATTTGTAAACGATGATTAATTTTTATTTTAAGCCAAATGACAGTTCAAAATTTCAAACTGTCGCTTCCAGAAATTGGAAAACTGTGCACTATAGCCTTTACTAATTTTACAAACATAATGTCAACGTTAATTAATTTCTATTCTCAGCCCCATGTCACTGTCCATTCTAATCCCAATTTGTGGTGGCGATCAACCACCACCGTAAAAAAAAGGAACAGTTGGCTTAACAAAGGGATACAAAAGATTGACAGTTGTGTGAATTCCCAATAGATTGGTAATAGGAACAGCAAAAATGGAACACTTACCAAAGCGAGCTTCTGTCGAGTGGTTTTGGATTTTTTTTTCTTTTTTTGGGAGCAGCTGCAGCCGCTGCTGGCCGAATAAAGTCACAGGCTGTGGCTCAGCGAAGCGTTGACGCTTCCGTTGTCGTTGTTATTGTTGTTGTCGGCTGCTGCACTTTGCGAAACTTCCTGTCTTGCTGGTAAACAGGTTGTGAAGATGAAACTGAAACTCAATATGTGTGCACAGCTTGGACAGACGTCGCAGTCACAGCCGCAGCAGCAGGCGCAAGGTGAAGGACGTCGACGTCGACGGCGCCGTCTGCGTTGTCTTTGTATGTATGTGTATGTGTGTGTGTGCCTCTTTGTTTACACTCGCACAAATAGCAGCTGGCTCGAGATGCGGCAACGTTGTACATGGAAATTGGCCATCATCGCCGTCATAATCGAGACGAATTGAGGGGCAGGAGGAGACCGCTTAATATTAATTTAGTTGGGCCCCCACACACGCACACACGCAAACACTAATGCACAATCCGCACTGCTGCCCCGCTAACTGCTCTTTTCCTATACTGCTGCTGCTGCTGCTGCTTTCGTCGTCACAGTTTTTTGCACAAATTTTTCTTGCGTTTTTACCCTTTCGTTGTCGCTTGTTGTTGTTGCCAGCGTTTATTTTGTTACATATTCCTCGCATTAGTTTTGTGTAATTTCGCATAAATTAAACAAAAATTAACGTTTTCCATGGAAATGCGCGCACGAAAGACAGCACAAAATAAAGACAGCGAACAAAAATATGCGAGGGGCAAATGCACGAAACGAAGCTTTAGCTATTGCTGTTGTTGCTGCGTTGACAAGCGCGACAGAGCTTTTATTCGAGTCACGTTTACGGCTTGTGTTTCAACAGCAGCGAACAACAAAAAACAAAGCGCGAGGCTTAATTATATTTTGAAAATAAAATCTGCTAGTAAAACTCGTGCGACGCAGACGCCTCCTGCGTATGTTGATATTGTACCAATACTGGACGGTTGTGTTACCGCGTATTGAAAGCGATAATATACTGACTTCCAGTGTATGCAACATACTAAAACAGTCATGCGACTCGTAATTGCGTCGTCAGTGCGGTCACACTACACATGTGTGTGTAGCCGCTTCGCGCTGAATGCCAGCTGTTTTTAAGCACACGTGCGGCGAGTTGAGATTCTTGGAGTCTGTGTTTGATTTAATGTTAAACTGCTTAAATAAGCTAAGAACATGCCGGCAGCTGTAGCTACAGGTGTGCAAATCAATGGTTCATTGAAAAACAAAAAGATTGTATTCAATGACGATGGCGAGGCTGTGACGAAGCCCAAGTGGGAGAAGCACAACAACAATAAAGGTGCGTCAAGTGGGCAGGCGAAAAAGCCGCAGAAAATCAAATTCGGCGAGAATGAACATGCGGCAGAGAAGGCTACAGTAGTAACAAGTATGAAAAATAAAAAGATTGTCTTCAATGACGATGGCGAGGCAGTGACAAAGCCCCAGTGGGAGAAGCATAACAGCAGTAAAAAAGCGTCTAATGGACAGGCAAAAAAGCCACAGAGAATTAAATTTGGCGCTAATGGCGATGCAGAAGAGAAGGCCGCTGTACAAACAGGCTTCAGAAACAAAAAGATTGTCTTCAATGATGACGGTGAAGCTGTGGCCAAGCCCAAGTGGGAGAAGAATAACAAAATCAAGCCACAAAATAATAAAAATGTGTCAAACGGACATGTTAAACAGCCGCAGAGAATTAAATTTGATGACGCAGAAGAGGAGGAAGTGCAGCCTGTAGAGCCTAAGCCGAAGCCAGCTAAAAAGGATAACCATTTAGTCTTTAATAATCAAGGGGAAGCAAAGAAACCGCAGCGCATAAAATTCGACGAAGATGGCGAAGAGAAGGAGCAAGGATCAGAGAGCGAAAGCGAAAATGAAACGGTTGAAGGTGCGCAGAAGAAGCGGAAGAAGCAACAGTTCCAAGTGGACGATTACGACTCACAGAAGAAATGGTATCAAGTGGCAAGTATTTCTAAAAAGTATTAAAAAATGTAATAAATATAATATAAGTTTGTTGATGCAGTACACGGAATATCCCAGCAGTGATGAGGTGCTGGACATGAAGGAGAACGATCAGCTGGAGCTGTTTAATCTGTGCAAAGCCGCCTTTGAGTCAGAGAAGTCAACATTCAATAAGCGTAGGAGTTTCTATAAATACATATATAAATGAATATTGAAATACCAAATATATTCCAGGTAATCCCACGGATGCTCGCTGGCTGCAAACGGCGTTACACAAGGGCACAGCCAAGGATCGCGCCAATGCAGGTGCTCTGCTTGTGACTAGCAATCCGCTGGGCAACCTGGAAGCGCTCTCCAATCTGATTGGCTTCTGCAAAATATCCAACAAGAGCAGCAACGATGTCATTGCCGTGCTCACGGATCTGTGGCAGGAGGTGCTGCTGCCGCCGCAGCGTAAACTGCTGGCTATACACACGCGCGGCGCCGATTGGAAGCTATTGAAGAAGCAGGATTTGGCCAAGGAGCAAACACGTCGCATCTACGCTTATTGGTACTTCGAGAACGAGCTGAAGGATCAGTACCATGAGTACTTAAAGAATCTAATGCAGGGCCTGCAAACGGGCCAGGAACACAACAAAACAGCTGCCATTGTGGCCGCGTCGAAGCTGCTCGCCTATGCACCAGAAAAGGAGCAAATGCTGCTCACGATGCTCATCAATAAGTTGGGCGATCCCATCGCCAAAATCGCCTCCAAGGCGCTGCATCATCTCACCGAGGTGGCCCAGAGGCATCCCAACATGTGCGGCGTCATTGTAGCCGAGGCCGAGAAGCTGCTCTTCCGCAACAACATTGCCGAGCGTGCGCAGCACTTTGCACTGTGCTTCCTCGCCAGCATTGCGCCATCCGGACGGCCGGAGGTGTGCACGAAGTTGGTCAATATATGCTTCGCTCTATTCAAGGTGCTCGTGCAGAAGGGCGCCGTCAACAATCGCACCATGCAAGCGATTCTGCGCTGCCTACAGAAGGCCATCGTCGAAGCGCAACCGGCCAAAGGCAGCACCGAGCTGCTGACCAAGGAGATGCAGGACACCATCTATAGGCTGGTGCACCTGGCCGACATACGCGTCTCGGTGCAAACGTTGGGCCTGCTGCTGCAACTGGTGACAGTGAAGACCGAGAAATCGGATCGCTTCTACAATGCGCTCTACGTCAAACTCCTGGATCTGAATCTGATCAATATCGGCAGCAAGACCGCAGCCCAGCTGCTGCACATTGTGCACCGCGCCGTCCACATAGACAAGCATGTGGCCAGAGCGCAGGCATTCATCAAGCGCCTGCTCCAGCTGGCGCTCTATGCCCCGCCCAACATGTCCGCTGGCTGCTTGATCGTGCTCCACAAGCTGCTGCGTATGCGCCGCGAGCTGGTGGGTGGCATTGGAGACATCGAAATGGCGGCGAATGCAAAGCAACTGTTGCCCGCTGCTGCAGCTGAGGATCTGGACAAGTTTGGCAGTGATGGTGAGGAGGTGTATAAGGATGCCGATGTAGAGCAAAATGAGGCGGAAGTGAAAGAGGAAAAGGAAAAGGAAAAGCAAACTGTAGCCAGCTCATGGCATCATGTAAATCTTGTGGCCACCGAGTCGAAGGTGCGCGAGATTGATGCCTGCAAATATGATCCCTATCATCGAGTGCCGGCCTTTGCAGGCGCTGGTTATGCGCTGCGGAACGAGTTGCTGCTCCTGCGCCAGCATTTTCATCCCACGGTGCAGGTGTTTGCTGAGAACATACTGCTAGGTAAGGAAGTAACACTGAGTTATCCTCCGAGCACCATTCCGTATATATTAATTCCCTTTCTCTTTTAGAGAAACGCATTGATTACTATGGCGACCCATTGCGTGACTTTGGATTGCCACATTTCCTGGAGCGTTTCGCCTTCAAGAATCCCAAGAAATTGGACCATCAGCAGGCAGTTGATGGTGCCGCCAGCGTTGCCCACAAACGATACACGTCGTTCGGCGCACGTGGCAAGCCCGTCAAGTCACTGACCAAGGCAACCTGTACAGAGGACGAGATGTTTATATTCAATTATCTCGAGCATAAACGCAAGCAAGTGGAGCTGATGGAGCAGACGAAGAAGCAGAAGAAAGTGGAGAAAGTGGAATCAACAGAAGCAGCTGATGATGAGCTGAAAGAGGGTGAAGTGGATGATGATGAGTTTGAATCATATTTGGATGACTTCTTTGGCAAGAAGCTGAAGAAGGGCGCGGATGGAGAACAGGACGAAGAAGAGCTCAATTTCCTGCAGGAACTGGGTGGGGAGCTGCAGACTGATAAGTCCAAAAAGAAGGATAAGAAGAAGAAACAAACAGAGGATGATGAAATGGAGGACGAATGGGATGATGGAGCGGAGGATGAAGATGAGGAAGAGGAGGCCGATGAGCTATCAGATGCAGGGGCTGATGATCAGTCAGATGATGAGACGGGCTCAATCGATTTGGAGCCGATTGACAACGATGAGGACGACGATGATGATGGCGATGATGATGATGAAGGTTTGATAATGGGTGACGATAGTGACGACAGCGAAGGTCCTGAAAGTCCTGATGATGATGATGATGATGAAGATTCGCCACCCAAGAAGAAGAAATCACGCAAAGATGGCGCCATGGATGAACGCAACTTTGCACAGAAGCTGAAGCACAGCGACGGTGCGTATGAGTTAATTATGATATATAATTCCTTTATATTAATATATGTATATTTAATCCTATTCTAGATATGAGCTCTCTGTTTGCTGCTGCGGACGATTTCTCAGCGCTACTCGAGGAGACTGGCAAAACCAAGGGACAGGGCACCAGCAATGCGGTCTTCAACAAGGACAAATCGTCTGATAAACAGCTGAAATGGGAGGAGAAGCGAAGATCGAATAGCAAAACCTACACAAGTAAAAAGTTTGGCGGAGGGAAAGCTAAGAAAGGAGGGGGAAAGCCAAAATTGGGCAAAAAGCGAAAACATTAGCATGGAATTGAGATGAAGAGCGGAAATTGCGACTGGTTTTATATACAAAAAATCTAATTGTGTTATGAATTATGTAAATAAACAATTAAATGATTTATGCTTAAGTTTTATATATCAAATTTCCATCTAAATTCAAATTTCTTTTTGAATAAGATATCGGCGTTGGCTTTACTTCCGATGCATGTTAATTTCTCGAAAGCTTTGCAGTCTGAAGAGCTAGTTCACTGTTGATCATATATCGATACTTTACAGCCTTTGTGCCTTATCGATTACTCGATAGCTGCTACAGTTGGCGGCTTTAAAATACTGCAGAAATAATATTTGAATTATTTTATTTTAACTTTATATACAAACTTTGGTGGCTTAAACGCTAGCAAGTTAAATTGTGGTTTATATGTTTTTTCTTCCATTTGTACACCTAAAAACAACGATCAATCGAGCGCTTTGTCTGTGTATATGTTTGTCATTCTTATAGATAATCTACACAATATGCTAAAATAAGATATTTGCGATTTGATTGTTTATCTTAACTGGTAACTAATTGTTGTTGTTGTCGTCCCCTCGACTGTTGCTTAAAATATGTTTTATCTATATGTATATGTATATGTATATACTATTGGAACCTTAGAAACTATTGCTTCGGTTGTAAAAATTCTCCTTTATAATAATCATAATAATGCTTGGGCTCTCAATTGATATCAAAAACCAGCATTTTGTATTTTGGCTTCCTCTTAGTGGTAATTCATATGTTTATATATTTTTGTTTTTGGTTTAACATTTTTCATTTGTTTTTTGTTGTTTGTTTTCTAAGGCAACTTGTTTAAAGGCAACTTTAATATATTATTAAATCTTATTCGCTTTACACTAAACTTTTTCGGGTCTCGAGCTCTTTGTCAAATGCGTTCCACAAAAATTCATATACATATTTAAAACATAATTTATGTAGATATGTGTTTATTTTTGTTCTTGTCAGAGTTAAAATCAAATTGAATTTAATCAAATAAAACAAATGAAAAGAAAATAATAAATTTATCTTTTTTTGTGATTTATGCATTTAAAATTTATTTCATTTTAATTCTTCATACAGTTGATAAACGCTCTTAAGTGTTTTATGTTGGGTATTTTTTTTTTTTTTTTTTTTTTTTTTTGGAAATTTCAATTATTTTCTTTTTGCTAACAAAACAAAATGTATAAAACAAATTAAAGAAAACATAAGTTAACAATAGATAAACTTAAATTAAGATTATTTTATGCTTGGAGAGTCATAATCTAATATAGGAGATTAGACATAATTAAATTATACAGAAAGATATTTCACACGTAGCAAATGGAAATTATTTGTTACATTTTTTTTTTCACTTTGCTGCAGTTGATTAAAAATATGAAAATGTTCACTTTTCAAAAAGAATTCATTTAATTTATGTTTTACTTGTTTTTCTTCCTCATTTTTGTTGTGGTTGTAGTTGTATTCGTTTAACAATTATTTATAAACTTAACATAGAGCACAACTTAAAGCGTAAATTAATATTATTATTATTATTATAGATATTCATACATATTTGTTTATGTATGTGTAAGACTAATTATATGTTGTGTTTAGTTTTCCTTTCGTTAATTAACTTAATTCACTATCTTTGCACTTAAATAATTTTCAAAATTGTATGCCAAAAAACTCAATATACAGTTGCTACGACTTGTTCTTACAGATTTTCTGAATTTTGTTTTTCTTTTGTTTTTCTTAAGACTCTGTACAATACACTAAAAAAAAAAAAAACAATTCACTAGTCCAACAATGCAATTTAAAATGTTTTGTGTGTGTATGTGTGTGTGCGGAGTTAGATATTTCAATAATGAATCAAAGTCAAATTCAACTTATGCTTATGATTTACAGAATAACAACTTTCAAATCTCTATCGACAGGATCTTTGGTGCCGCTCAATGCTCCACCCGTTCGACCCACATTCGGTATCCTCCATATATTCATGCACGCATATATGTTTTCTTTCTTTTTTGCTTCCCTCTTTTCACTAAATTGTTGCCATCAGGTTGCGCCGTCTCAATCGTCCTCCGTCCAGCGATTTTCTTTTCCTAGCTATAGTCAATATCTGCTGTCAGCTCCCCTGTTGCTGTCTTTGCCTCTGCCGCGGCCTCTGCCATTGCGTCGGCCATTCGCTGGCCGACGTAAGCATAGCCTGCAACAGCTGCTGCTCATCCTCGTCGATGACAGGCGCAGCTACTATCACCGGCTCATCTTTCGTGTCCAGCGAATGTCATTCAAAGACATAACGCTGGCGCAGTGCACGCGCCCTCTCTGGCTGCACACGTGTCGGTGGGCGCGGCACCTTGGGCGGTCGCTTAGCTCGGCGCAGCGCTGGCGGACGCGGACGAGGGAATATCAGTGGCTTCTCATACGCCTCGTCTGGGGTTTCCGCCTTGATGGTGAGCGAGCAATAGACGCGTCTCTCCTTCTTAAAGCGATGTTTGAGCACCTGCTGCACGCCATTGAGCAGCAGACAGAAGTGACGCCAGCTGGCGCGTGATTTGCGCCACGTGTACTTCGTCTTGCCAAAGCCATACAGATCGCTGAGGGGACGCGGCGACTGACGGTTTATTGCGGGCGATGGTAGTGGCTTTGTCACTGGCACCACCTCCGCCACTGGCGGTAGTTGCTGCATCAGCAGATACAGATCAGCCTTTGAGTCTTCCTCCGCTGGCGGGGAGCCAGTTGTTTCCAGCAACTCGGTGCGCCGCTGTTGGCGCGTGAGTGGACCTCTACTGGCCTCCACAGGCAGTTCCATTGGAGCTGGCGCAACAGGTGGCAGCATAGCGGCTGCGGTCTCTGGTTCGCTAGTAACGTTGCCATCTTGTGATTGTTGCAGCGGCAGCTCAGTGTAATACTCGGAGGGCAGGCGCAGTGGCGGCGCATGTTCGTCAAAGCCATGGAAGTCGATAAGCGCATCAAAGTCCGGATCATAGACGCACTGCGTAATATCCTCATTGGTCGTTGGCTCTTCTGCATAGTCGCCACTGCCCACCTCTGTGGTTGACTTTTGTTGCATTGCCACCAGCAATTGTTTTTGATTTTCCTGCTTGATCGACAGTTCGAATGGCTGCTCCATGGTGTCTTCACTTAAGTCGACCAGAATCTGTTCGGGCGCTGGTACGATGTCTATGTCATGATCCATATTCTCACGCAGCCATTCGCTCTCAAGTATGTCACTCAACTGGGGTCGATCAGCGGGATCTCTTTGCAGGCACCAGGTGACCAACTTCCTAAACTCTGTACTGGCGCTTAGCCAGCGCTTGGAGCTCTGATTGAAAGCTTCGCGCTGGATACGCTTGCGTACCTTGTGATGAGCCTCGGGAGTGTGATCGCAATCGCCCTCGTACTGGCGATACGGCGCATGACCCACAAGCATTGTGTAGAGCGTCGCTCCAAGGCCATAAATATCCACAGCTGGCGAATAGGTAACTACATTGAGATCCGTTAACAGCTCCGGCGGCGCATAGTCCAGCGTATAGCGTGGCTTATCGCGCCAGCTCTGGAATCGACTGTTGTAGCTGTAAGAAAAGGTAAACGTAAATATTTATATTTGTCGATTCGCAAAGTGGGAGTATTAAGCCTACCAGGCATTGCCAAAGTCCACCACCTTGACGTCGAGGCTGTCGCGGCTTACGAACATAATGTTCTCTGGCTTGAGGTCACCGTGTATGAAATGCTTGGAATGCACATGCTGAACAGCGTGCACCAGCTGTCGAAAGATCTTGCGACAGCTGTCCTCATTGAGTGTTCTGGTGTGCAGATAGCTGGCTAGCTCCTCGCCGCACAAGTACTCCTGAATGATCCACACCTCACACTTGTCACGGAACGTGCCGTGATAGTTGACAATGTTGCGGTGGCAATGAGTGTCCAAGGCACACGATGTGAGTGCATCCACTTCGGAGGCCCGAAATTTGGACAGCGGTATGACCTTTGCCATGAACACAATATCTGAAGCATCCACAACAAAGTAGCAGGTGCCATAGGCACCCTTCACTGTGCGTGTGCCCAACTCTAGGTCATCGGGTCGTGATGGTATATTCTGCAAGGAAATTCGATTAGAACTGAATGATTTGAGAATGCTATGCTGCTTACCTGTAGGTCCGGATTGCAGTACTCAATCTGGCAGAGATTTTCACGTCGCATTTCCTCCAAATGCTCGGGTGCCACATACGTGTAGCCACGAAACAGCCGAATACGTGAGGGTGGTGCATCACATTCGGGATCCTCTGGCAACTGGTCGGTAAACTCGTTGCTGAAGTTTTGCACATCGTCCTCGGCATTGAGCGTTGGCTTGTACGGCGCTTTGCGACGCTTGTTGCGCAGCTCTTGCCAGTTAATACCATTGAAGAATGGATGCTCCTTGATCTCAGTGGCATCCCTATGATTGCCGCCCAATCGCCGTTTCGGATTCTTCTCCAGCATCTTAAGCACGAAATCACGAGCATTGGCGCTGAACGTGGAAGGTATCAATGGCTGTTCCTTTTGTATGCGACGTGAGATCTCCTGTTGTTGACTCTGACCATCAGAGGTGGCAAATGGCGAAGCGCCCGTCAGCAGCTCAAAAGTGAGGACACCCACCGACCACCAATCGACGGCACTGTCATGACCCGGCGGCCCAGTTCGTATAATCTCCGGTGCCATATACTCCAGTGTGCCACAGAAGCTGTGCGCACGATATTCATTCTCGGCGGTGAGTATTTTGGACAGGCCGAAATCGGATAGCACAATGTGACCATCGCCATCCAATAGAATGTTCTCTAGCTTGATGTCACGGTATATAATGCCCAGCTGATGCAGCTGCTCCAGTGCCAGTACCACTTCAGCAATATATACACGCACACGCGCCTCCTCGAAATGCTCCGCATGGTAGAGATGTGTGAACAGTTCTCCGCCATTAGCAAAGTCTACAAATGCAAACATTGAATTAGAGCATATATAATATAGATATTCTTCGGAGAATCTTACCAAGCACTAGATAGAGTTTCGATGATGACTGGAACGCATAGTGTAGCCCAACCAGAAACGGACTGCGCTGCACTGCTTCGAGAACCTGAAAGTTTTGAAGAGGTTGTGTTATTAGTTATATGAAATAATCATCATATGTGAACTATATATTTATTATAGTTAGGATTATGAAATGAAAAAAGAAGTCGATAACAAAATGCACTCCGTGGCATATCGATTAATCTTGTTCGCTTTGCTTTGAAGCTTATTTGCCTTATCTTTACGCTACTGTTTCTGTGCTTTGTTTATTAATTTCGTGCAGCGCTGGGTAATTGCCGTTTTTGTTGTTGCTAGGCTGAGCCACTGAGGCGCTAACTGTACACAACAGCTGTTTGGAAATTTCCCCAACACGAATATCCCAAACATACAGAAAATGCCCCAAAGCGCCTCCAATGCACACATATATAGATAAGTATGTATGTATGCGTGTCTACTTTGTCTGCCTACGTGAAAGTGAAAATATATTTTTGTTTAATTTAATTTCGTACTGAAATTCATTTATCTCATCTTTCTCTTTTTCCTCTCATAGACAATTGTCAAGCGTTTTGTTGCATATACAACTTTCACCTTTCTCGAATTTATTCCTTTCCTTTTTTGGCACAAGCAACAACAACAATAGCGGGAACAGCACATAACACAAGGCGGAGAACAAGCAGGAAATTTATACACATACTACTACTGCCGGTAAATAGCCTCACTCTCTCCACTCATTTACCCTCCCACACCTACAGTTTAACTATGTCGCGATCTGGGTTAGTAGCACAAGCGTCATAGACATCGTTGTTGTTTGTGTACCTTGAAAATCAAGTACGCTAAGTGCGTGTGCGTGTACCTGTCTCAGTGTGTGTGTGTCAGTGTGCGTGTGCCTGAGCGTCTGCGTATCTGTGCGTACATCTGACAACGACAACAATCAAGGCATTGCACAATTGTAAATTGTTCGCGAAAAATCCCCTTTTTGGCTAGTGTATGCTCTCTCTCTCTGTCTCTCTCATATTCTCTTTAGCCACCTTCACCTGTTTGCAGTTATTCAACCAACATTTTCGTTATCTTTTCTATTTTCAATGCCGCTAACCGGTTGTGGATTGCATACACACACATACACACACAAAATAATAAGCATGCACACACACACACACAGTGGATCAGCTTGCTCTCTTTCAACTCTCTCGCGGTCAGCTCCACTATCTTTGACAGTCCGTTAGCTTTTTGCCGGTGCAACAAGTTGAGCGAGTGCTGAGCGCTGAGCAAGCTTATTCTTGTCAGTATGTATATGTATATGTACATATGTGTAATCAACCACGTTTGGATTCTTACTTCGTTTTCGGCCGCCGACACTTTTTATTCTCTTTTCTCTCTACCTTATTTCATGTACGTGCAACAACTGAAGGTTTTTTATTTCAATTAGCTGCGCTGATCATGCTGAAGAAAAAACTTTGATTTGGACACGTTTCGCAACTTTGTAAGGGTTTTCTCGTTTATTCTTTTTTATGCACTTGGCTTTTAATTTCTCTTTTCTGTATTTTCTTTTTACTTACCACTCGCTCCGTTTTTGTGTGCTCAGCCGTCTTGCGCTTCTGCACTACAGTTATCTTATTGAGAACCTTCATCGCATACAGCTTTCCTGCATCGTGTCTGGTCAACTTACGAACCAAGAAAACTCGTCCATATGCTAACGAGAAAATGAAAAGAAATCAATTGATAAGTCAAGATATCTGATGTCATTTCAGTAGGTTCTTTGATGCTTACCGCCCGTGCCAAGCACGCGAATGATTTTGAAATCGTTTAGGCTCACGCGCTCATCGCTATAAAGTTTGACTATAAAAGAAAAAAGAAAAATCGAAATTGATTAGCATACGAAATGAGAATATGTATAACTAAGAATTAGGCAGCAAATACAAAACCAGAATATTCGAACAAATACATACATATTCATAATTCATTCGCATTCACAAAGACAGGCATATGCAACTATTGTATCGCTGCTATATAAAACTACTTAATTATTTACCATATAGTTGAAGCACACGATTAGCATTATCTCAATTAAGTTGCTGAACAGCACGTGCGACACTTGAGAATGCAGCTTAATTCAAGCATAGCAAAATATTGTGGACAGAGTGGACTGTTATCGCAGTGTGTACACCCGTATGTTTACCATACATGCGCACCCACACACGTACACATGTACATATGTATGTACGATTGTACTTGCATGAAAATGTCATAAGGACGACAACAACGACAAAGAGCGACGGGCGTCGTTGCAGCAGGTGGCTGACCCACTGAGAACGTTAAACGTGTGTACAAGGAGAGCACAAGAATTAGCAGCAGCCAATCAAAGGCATTTTGCTAACCAACTCTTCTCTCAGTCTCTCTCGATACTCAACCTCTCGATGGAGATGACTATGGCCAAACGGTTCATTGGCCCTGTCTCGCATTTTGGCAATTTACAGTTACACTGTTGCGTCCAGACGATATTTTCACACTGACCAAGGAATATTTTAAGAAAATAAGAAAAGAAGCAAATTGCGTGCAAACAAACCTGAGCAATGCATACATACAAACATACGTTTGTAAGTACATTCAAATTTATATATTTAATAAAAATATCCCAAGTGACTAATTTGTGTTCACGTCCTCCAAGAAACCAACGTCTTTTACTCCACCGCTCTCTCTCTCGCCCCCTTTCTCTTGCACAATGAATGTTTGCCAAATGAACACAGCATTTGTCAAACAATTTGCCATAGAGAGCAGAAAAGAGAGCGCCAACAGTTGACAGATACAGAGCGAGTTGAATGCCATTGCTGGACATTTGTCCTTGAACCTGTAGCCTTTCTCTTCTATATATTTGGCCATGCGTGCCAATTTCATTGTTATTATTAGTCATTTCAGAAGAAAATATATTTTATTTTTTTTTGGCTTGAATCGAAATTTCAACTTGTGAAATATTCTCAGTGCATTGACATGAGTCGAAGAGGGTAATGAAACTACCTTGCTAATTTGTTATTATTTGTTGTTGCCTCAATAAACCAGTTACATATCAAATTTATATTATATATTATGCATCTAATACGTCTTGAAAAGTGACGTATTTCCATTTTCGCCGACAGGTGGGTGCAACGAACTGAACTTGGAGTGGTGGCCCATTAAAAAAACACTTCAATAAAAATGTTTTTGAATGGCTAGCAAAATTATTGATCCAACAAAAATCTAAAAATCTAAGCGAAAGTAAAGAAACAATTTGGCGGTACCTTGCTACAAATAACCCTTTTAATATTAATATGTATGTGTTCTGACATATCCACAACAATTAAATATGTATTTATTTAATGGCCATAGCAAAGACTATCATAAATTACACACTTAGCAATACTCGTGATTTTCATCAGTAAATTTAATAATTTGTTTTAATGAATATGCTTTATTTTTAAACCGCAAAACATTCAACAAGCGTTTTTTGGCCTTGAGTGATATCTGGGTACATACAAACATGAATGTGTTCATACATACATACATTTGCATGTATTTTCATAGCAGGCTTTTAAACTGTTTAACCTCCGTGCGGTTTCAGTTGCTTTGTTTTTTCTTCTCTTTATTTTCGACTAGCTAAAGTTTAATGAACGCAAAAAATGTGAAAATATATATTTTTTTAACATATGATAAACAGCTGCAAACTCATTAAAACGATTTAAGTATCTTAGACTTGAAATAATATTCTCATTAAATCCAAAAGTAGATTCATGTTATCTGACAGATTCATGTAAAAGCGCGTTCACTCTGTTAAAAAATGTGATGGAACTTTGTCAAAAACCGGGCGCGGTGCTGTACACAACAGTAAGCCTACAACAGCCGTCTTTTACTTCGTGTCACTCGCATACTCACACATAGGCTTAAGAACCGTTATGATGAGCATAATTGTTCTCTGTGCTGAGAGAACTGGCTCACGATCACGATTGCAATGAAAAAGGGATGTAAGAGAAAAATATTCTCTTTAACTAAACAAGTGCCAAGTTTATACTTACGATCGAAGATAAATAACAACTGCCAATTAGCCAAAAAGGTTAACACGTTTTTACATATGTAAATATGTGCATACATGCATAAATGTGCAGTTGTTATTGGGATACTTGCATTGTCAAGTTCAAGTTAATCAATTGCTTACATACTCTGGCCCATACACACACGCACACATAGAGCAGCCTACATACATACATTCATACATATGCAAACAGCCAACGTCACATTTGAGCGTCGAATACTATTCGTAGTGTGGTGAATTCAGGTGAATTTAGCTTTGGGGAGAACGCAACAAACACCCAAATAAAACCATTCAGATATAGTCTGTATCTATGTATGCACTTGTAGGCAACTGTGTCAAGGTTGAATGTATGTGCCCCACATTAAAAGGATTGTGAGCAGACGAGGTCGACGTCACTGCTGATGCATTGACCAGGCCAGCCTATCCATCCTAACGCCCCCAAACTATGTCTAGACAGAAAAGTATTTACTCACCATATGAGCGCAGGTCGGTCACGATCTCCAGGTCCCGCTGATGTGCCTCATTTTCCAGATCCAATGGCGTGCTGTTGCTCGTGGGCATTGTATATGTTGTGGGTGGTGTAGCGGCCGCTGCTGCTGCTGCCGCCGCCGCTGCTGCAGCCGCTGCCGCTGCATTGTTGTTGTGATTGGATTGCTGTTTGCTATTGCTAGTGGTGGGCGATTCTTCGATTTCCAAGTCGCTATCCTCCTCCGTTTCGTGGTCATAGTATTCGGTGCAATCATTCTCGTCGCTCTCCGCATCCGAAATACACACAACGTCCGATACTGTATTTTGGGGCGGTGGCGAGGCCGGTGAGGCTGGTGAGGGCGGCGTTGGTATGGTGGATATGTTATTACGGTAGCTGTATTCCATTGCTGTATTTGTTGTAGCTGTTGTTTTTGTATTGGTATTTACGGTCTGCTTCTTTTTCTTATTGTTGTTAAAAGTGTTGTATTGATTGCCGTTCGTGTTGCTCACATTGTTATTCTGTTTCTTATTGTTATTATTATTATTATTGTTGTTGTTATTATGATTAACAGCTTTCCCGTTGTTGTGCCGTTGCCCACTGGAGGACCCCGAGCTGCTGCTTGTTGTCTCCATGGCATTGTGTGATTGCTTCAATTTTACATTTTTGCTACTTGTTCCATTAGTCAACTGTTGCAAAGGCTCATCGTCGCTTTGACGTCGTCGTTTATTTGTCATCGTCGACGTCGACTTACTATTTCCATTCGTCGATATATGCCCATTGCTGAGCTGTGCTGGCCGCGCCATTTGAGCACTATCCTCAAGCGCTCTCAGCGGCGGCTGTTTACGTCTGTTCTTAGCGCCGCTTGTGCTGCTGCTAACTAATTCACACTGGTTGCGTTGTGGATGTTGTTGTGATTGTTGCTTTTGTAGGCGACTCATGTTGAGTAAAGTGAGCGCTCCGCTTTGCTCTCTCTAAGTTGTGGACGCTATTTGTGATAATAACTGTTTAGGGCAATTTATAGCAGCTGATTATCATGATGCTTAAGAAGTGAAAGAGAGGAGACTGCTGAGTGTACGCGAATATTATTACGCTCGCTCTATATCTTTCTCTCTCTCTCTTTCTGTCTTTCGTTCTCGTGCGAGCCAGTCAGTCAACAATATGGTACAGTTTGGACTAGAGATGGGCGCGTGTCAACACAAATTTGAAACACGAACAGAAATAACTTTTTTTTTTTTTTTTTTATTTATTGATTAGTGTATTAAATGAACTAAGCTCACTAGACTTTATTGTACGTTGTATACTACAATATGAAAATTAGATGCGTAAATTTTATTAAATTTAATTTTATTTATATAACTGAACTGCATTACGCTTCATACGTACACATTTATCACGCGCGCATCTCTAGTACAGTTTGAACACAAGTTCCGACTAAAAACTCTTTTTAAAAAATTTACTCACCTCAGAGTAATAAAAGGCGCAAATTTGTCGGCTACATCAACTAAGCACAATTGTACTTCCACTTGCTTATAGATTTTAGTTGCCAACAGTTTTTTCTTTTATTTTTAAATGTGCATACGTTGCCGTTTTATGTAGCTTTATTTTTTACACAGGAGTTTTAAAGCCCAGGCTTATATATTATTCAACCATTTGTTAATACAAATTTGTGATAATCACAAATTTCATCAATTGCGTTTTGCGCTTGCTCTTCGTATGCACTATTTTTCTTTTGCCTTTTTGCTGTGGGTCTTTCTTATTACGCTCGCACACACAATCATGCATACAAACAGGCAGGCGTTTTTTGGCTACGTTTCACGGTTGTTTTGTTTTGACTTGCAGATTCTGCTGTGCAATAGGCCTCACTTGTTCAAAAATTCTTTTAACGATGAAATCGTATTTCGTGGAGCTAATATTGAGATTAACTTTTGTATTTATATATATGTATGAGTGGGGTTTTACAAGTTTTTACCGCCGCTTTCTTCTTGACATACACACACGCACACAAAACCAACACCAATGCGGCGCGACGCTCTTTGCCATCTGCTTTGCGCTCTCATTCTTTGCCACTTATTTGCTGTTGCATCGACAATAAAGCACACGTTTCATTACAATTTATCAAATAAATTTCAACCTACATTTTTCACAATCGGCTGCAAATGTATAAGACTAAAAGTAAATAGATATATTTACTTATTAACTCATTGGAATCTTTGGTAATTTCGATAATTTCCCGACAGCGCGACCGAACACATTGAAGTTATTTATAAAATGAAATGGTATGCGATGCAATCGATATTCGTGTACGCTTCCTGTATATCGATAGTCTACTTTACCAATTGGGCTCGATCAAATTGTTAATAATTATTTTCTGGTCGATATGAAAAATAAATGAAATGCCTTTGTATTAATTAAATAAGTCAGAATTACTTACACAATTTAGAAAATATTTTAGATGATAAAATAAATTCATATCGAACAATAGGGTTTCCCTGTAACAATTCACAGTAACTCAGCTGAGAAATAACACTTACATATTAAACCGAGTTCAATAAATTTCTAACGTTTATCGACAGGCCACCACAAATTGGATGGAGTGTTTCTGTTAACACTAAAATTAATAATGTACTAAACTATATTTGAATTTGTTTACTGTAATTTTTAAAGATATTTTGTTATAATGTTATTAATATTTAATCATGATGTCTTGTAATCTTTTCCGTTCTAAATCTGGCACACTGCAATCGTCCGCCGCATAACCGACAGCAAGTAGAATTAATAATTTTTCGTTACTGGGCCGATTGAGTAAGCGCTTCAGGGCCGGACCACAATTAAGGGGCGTAGTGACCAGCGAACAAAGCCCAGCTGCCTGGAGAGCACATAATAGTATTCCGGTTGCAATGGACGTTGATATCTCATTGTAGTAATGCAACTTCTTACGTCCATCGACCGTTGTGCCGTACGTTTGCTTAAATATTAAAATCAGATAGGGCGCATCCGTCAAATATGGCTTAATTGCGTTTGTCTGCAAAGGCCGTAAATCCGTCACCCACTGTGCGTGCATTCGTGTGCTGTAGTTAATATGCTCCTCACGCTCGACAATATCCCGCACAGCTTGCTTCACTTTCATTTCTTCAATCACACAGAATGTCCAAGGCTCCGTGTGTGCTCCACTGGGTGACGTTCCAGCAGCACGAATGCAATATTCCAATACGTCTATAGGCGGTTTACAATTGGCTTTAAAGGCACGCACACTGCGACGATCATTCATCAGCTCATAGAAACGTCTGGCACCATTCGGATTGAGATTCCGCCCAGGAGCGTATGGCACATGTGGTTTCTCTTCCAAAGCTGGCTTGATGTCGGCATCGATCATCGCGAATTCGACTAGAATGTATAAATTAAATTGCGCGACCTTTTATATATGCATGTATGTATATCTCCTACCTGCAATATGCTCTTCCCCCGCCAACTTTTCCGCCTGTCGCCTTCGGTAAACATTGATGTATTTAATTACCATTGCGATGAGAAAACCTAAAAGAATGCTCGGCCAATGCTTGAATAACTTTGAGCTGCTTAAAAATGCTTCCATCTTGCCATACAGCTGTTGCAGAACTGAGAAGCGATAGAAACTCTCGCTTATCTAATTAAACTTGGTCATGGCCGAGTCGGGCTGCTCAGCGACTGATAAGATATTTAATTTGCGAATTTAGCGGTTGACTCCGTTCGCACAGTATGGACAACTGTTGCTCGAGTTTCGCAAGCTTTGGGAATTATGTGCACTGCTCATACTGGTATCACAAATATTGTAATAGGCTTCGATGTCAGTCTTACGATATTGGGTTTGCGATGGCTCGCCCTTTTTGTAGATCATTTGGCGTTTGTTTACCTCACGTAAGATCTCAATGATACGCCACTTGGCATCGAAGTAAATGCAATCTGGCGCTGAACTGAGCTCAGTTCTAATCATTTCGCATAGCGTTTCCAGCTGATGGCCATTATTCTTGGATGATCCACTACGCTGATCCTGACTGTTGCGTGGTCGGGGAAGTCCACTACCTGAACCTGGCCTGTTGAGGATGGCAATGCATTTCGGTTGCTGATTTCTGTTGCAGAGATTGCTACTTAACTGGCCACCTTGGCCAGCTCTTTGTAGGTCCGATTCGGATGTTTGTATTTGAACAGTTGCTTTCTGCTTCTCTGCAGAAGTCGGCTTCTGAAACACCGCGCTTGCACGCTCGGATTTTGTATTTTTGTTATTTAATACCGTGTCACTTCTTGATTTATCTATCTTCACTGATTCCGTTTCATTTTTAGATTTATCTATCATCAGTGGCTCCCCACCGGTTTTCGATTTGTCAACCTCTTGCGCTTCTGTATCATTTTTCGATTTGAAGCTCTTTTGTGATTCGGTATATTTCTGTCTTTTGTCTTCATCTGCATTCTCTTCGTTTTTCCACCTGCTTTCTTTTCTATTCTTGAGTTTCATTGATTTATTTTCGTTATTTGGTAATGACACATTTTGTATATTTTTGGATTTCATTCCACAAAATTGCGATCCTGGCACAGATGAAGCGCATTTATTTCGCAGACTCGCGATGCTGTACGGCGCCAGCTCTGAAGTCGAGAGTACTTGGCTACTTTGACTGGCAAGGGAGGATACATCCTTGCCCGTATGTTCGTCCTCAGCTCCCTCCCTGCTCGTACTGATAAAAGGCACTAGAAATAGAAACTCATTGTAGTATTTAATTGTGGGCATCAAAATGTCACCGTGGTTGAGACGCGCATCCTGAATCAAGGCATATTCACGTTCAAATGCCGTGCGCAGCTCCGTAATCGTAGCTTCAATCTGTGGCCCAGTTTGGTTTTTAAAGGACCGCGCTATGTCCGAATAATATATATTCTCGATTTGCTTGTTGCCATATTGTGAGTTGTGGCGATTATAGAGATTTTCGTATTTCGAATATAGACCAATCAGACGGCGTGTATCGTCGTCACTTAGAGGAGCATTGGGCTGATTAATTTGCTTTTTATTTGGCTGTCCTCCTTTTGATTTGCTGCTAGATCCGAATTTAAAAAAGCCGCGGAAACCTTTTGATTTATGACTTGATTGAACTACAGCGCCTTCTTTTATAGGGGCTTCCACTGCGTCATCGGTAGTGGCGTTAGGTACATCTTTACTGAACCTTGACATCGTTGGCAGTTCTTGTGTCTTCAATCCGGAATCTGAAGACTTGAAAGAGTTGGGTTTGTGTTTTTGTTCCATTCTCTGCAATCTGTCGTTTTAGCAGATAAATATTTGAGTTGGAGTGAAGATTTGGAACAAAATCGTTTAACGGTAGCAGCATTTTTTACTGTGACAAATTTGGTAGCATATTATAAAATAAAGTAAACAATTAAATTACAAAATTTGAATATTTTTAAATGAATTTTGACTGCGCACGTCTTACAATTTATCGACAATTCTTTCAATGCAACCCTAATCAGTGTTCTTACAGAATTTTTCAGCACTCAAAAAAAAAAAAAAAAATATCATATTATTAACAGATAAATATATTTATCTTTCACATTTATCTTTTAATCATTAAATTCTAAAAACTGATTAGAAACCACGAAATTTATGAATACTGTTAAGTCAACTGTTAAGTAACAGCTGTCTCTCATCCAAGTCTGTAAACAGGCCATGGGGCAACAACAAACTAACAAAAACAAGTTACGTGAAATATAAATGGACTAATAAGCAAAAAAAAGTAAATGACATGGCCAGCCGTGCGATTACAAAAGCACAGAATTCGTTCTAGTCGTACAGTCATCGTCAATTAAACTTGTTATTTAATTGAAATCCAGAGCTAGCTATGTATTTGGCACTGCGAGTTTAGCATGTGACGTTCCTCGTAGCATGTACTATTTGCTGTCAAATCGAGCCGGGAGATGTTAATTAAATGTTATAGTTCCACTTTAAATTCAAAATATCAATATCAAATTTATATATAAAACATATGTTTCGTCATTTCGTAAATTCGTGCATACTCAATCTAACGTAGACCAACATTTACATAAAAAGTGCAATAAATCAATGCCCACCAGTGAGAAGGCGGAAGTGACCAAAGCTGACACAACAACAACAACAAAGAGCAAAAGACTGAACAGCCAATTCTAACGGGATTTTGGCACAAGAAACAACAACAAACAGTAAAAGAACTTTTGCTTTACATTTAACGTTGGTTTATTAAAATTAACAACGGAAAAATGGATGAGGTTTTCTCACTGCACATGGAAAAGCTCGACGTCTACGACGGTTAGTAAAGCGAATAATCTAAAAATATGTAAATAATATTAGGTAAATTAAGATTAATTGTTCGTTAGTCATTTCGATTGGGTGATGTCGTCAAATCGTCGTCGTTGTCCTCATCAGAGGATCTTAAAATCTCCTCGATTATTGGATCCTTTTCTTCGCTCTTTATGCCTTGCATGATCAAGTTCCGCAGATAAATAATTTTGTCCTTTTCGGCCTGTACTCTTGCCGCCAGTTGTAAATTCTCCTCTTTTAAGGCATTGATGCGCCCTCTGCGTTCCTCGGCAGTTTTCTTAGTTTTTTCACGCGTGCGCTGCACAGCCTAAAGAAAAATAAATCACAGACACCAAACAGAGTGCAATAATTTTTAGATGCTATTTCGGGGTCGCATATCTAGGCTAGCAACATTGTTGTACATTGTATTTACATTTACCTCATTATTCTTTTTTCTTTTCAACTTGTACGCGGGATCCTGCATCTGTTCATTCGCTGTCGCATTGCCGGTGCTGGTTGACGCTTTTGCAGTGTTGCTCCTGGCTGGCATTCTCTCGGTGATAATATTAATTTGTATTTAGTTTTACTAGCTAAAAATGTAGCCAGCAAACAAACGCAAGTCGTTGTGAAATTACAACGCGAATGATGTACCAAAGCGTAATTGTAAAACATATGTGCCCTATTGGAGCAAGTGTTGGAAAGCGAGCTGCTGTCATTGTCTATCAAATAAAATAGAGATGCGGTATTCTACAATTAATTTATCGACTTGAGTAAGCTATAGAAAAATTACTACCTTCAAGAGGACTTTCAACAATAGAAAATTAAATTAATAATTACGTCCCCGAAACATATATTGTTTTGCTCACAACATGGTATTATTTTTGCCGATATGCGAAAACAACAGAACTATAATTAATACAATTTGTTTGTAAAGACTGATTTCTTGTATGTAGTTAATTAAGATAAATAATTGGAACGTAATAAATTTTAATGTGAAAACAAAAAAGATGTAAATTATGTGAAATGTATTAATTATGATTGAATAAATATTTTTTAAATTAAACTCGTGAGTTTTCCGAGTTTCTTGTTTGTTTCTTTTTATCGATAACTACGATTGCGAATCGTAGTGTTTTCAAACACTTGCAAATTTTTTTTTTGCTACCGGCTTGAAAAATGTCTTCGCCTGCACCTCCAAAGTCACCTGAATTGTCAGATAAAAGCAAAAAATATGATAGACAAATTAGGTAAGTCTGTTAAAGTTCCAAAACAAAGTGATTATTGTAAAATGGCATCAACAGGCTGTGGGGCGATCACGGGCAGGCATTACTAGAGGCAGCCACAATTTGCGTGGTAAACGTGACGGCTGTCGGCTGTGAGACAGCAAAGGGACTCGTCTTGCCGGGCATTGGAGGCTTCACTGTGGCTGATGGCAGCACTGTCAAGGAAGAGGACTTGGGCAATAAGTAAGGCAGTGATAGATTTTAATTCTTTGGAGTATTTTAAAACTGGAGAATAGCTTTTTTCTAGATAATAGCTTCCTTGGTAAATCGAAAGCATTTGCTTGCAAACAGCTGCTACAGGAGCTCAACCCAGATGTCATTGGCGATTATGTAGATGAAAGCGTTGACTATATCTTGGCAAACCGTCCAAATTTCTTTGATAGCTTTGATCTAGTGATTGCCTCGAATCTCAACGAACAGTCACTGTTACAGCTTGCAAACCGATTGTGGGAGTCCAATGTACCACTCGTCTATTGCCGCTCACTTGGCATGCTGGGCTCTATACGTCTGCAAATCAAAGAGCATTGCATTGTAGAAACTCATCCCGATAATCGTCAGTTTGATTTGCGCCTAGAGCAGCCATTTCAAGCATTGCGTGATCATTTGGAATCAACAGAGGTTACGAGTAAGGTGCCCTGGCTTCTTGTGCTGTACAAATATCTAAAAGCTTGGCAGAAAGAGCATGGAGCTGGGCGACTTGCGCCTGGCAGCTACAAGGAGAAGACTCAACTGCGCGATGCAATCAAAGCCGACATGCAGAAGGATGAGGAGAACTACGAAGAGGCTATAAAGGCAGTTAATACTGCATTTGGGGCTGGAATGGTGCCAAGCAACCTTAAGGCCATATTCGACGACGATGCCTGTGAGCAGTTACACAAAAAGGTAAACCATCCAATCTTCAGGGGCTCAGCAAATAATAATAATTTCGCTTTCTTAACAGAACGATGTCTTTTGGATAATGGCCAAGGCACTTAAGCATTTTGTAGTGGAGGAAAATAAGGGCTATTTACCCCTGCCAGGCGTCTTGCCCGATATGACGGCCAACACAGATTCATATATAGCATTGCAGCAAATCTATCACCAACAGGCGCTGCATGATGCCGATCAAGTGTACCACAAATGCCAGGAATATCTGAAGCAGCTGTCACTGCCAGCGGACAGCATAGACGATCGCACTGTGCGTTTGCTATGTCGTGAGGCTGCAGGACTGTCTGTGATTCGTGGCACCCGCATTGCCGATGAGTATGAGAAGAACTGTCGCCTGCTACCACTGGGTAGGTGTTTATATAGTAAAAAGCATAGCTCGCCAATAACTGTAGAGCGTTTCTCAATGCCTGCAACGAAGTCTCTGAGAAAAAACTCAAAGAGCAAACGATGGCATCGACGAGTTCCATGTCTTTCGTATATGTATTGTATGAGAGAGTTGTGCCAACTCGTAACCCTCCATAACCGATGATCATGTAAAGAGAGTCAAACACGAGCAGAACCGAAGTCTCTGAAACGCTCAACTGTTATTTGCAAACTATAGCACAAATTTATAAATTCCTTTAGTATTATATTTTATTGCTTTGCAGTGGAGGACAATGAGCTGCAGGGCACTTTGACCGCCTACAATTTCGCTCTGCGGGCATATGAGCGTTTCCTAAGCGAGTGCGGCAGCATACCCGGTGAGTGCTCCGTGGAACAGGATATTGTGCGACTAAAGAGCATCACCAGCAAAATGCTCAATGACTTGGGCTTGCATGTGACCATCAGCGATGACGTTTTGCACGAAATATGCCGCTACGGCGGCGCCGAGCTGCATGCTGTGTCCGCATTTATTGGTAAATCAAATGCTATAGTAGATAATCTGTTCAATTTATTAATTAACTCGATTTTGCTTGCAGGAGGTTGTGCTGCACAGGAGGTGATCAAAATAATTACGAAACAATATAAGCCAATCGATAATACATTTATCTATAATGCTATTAGCACTGAAAGTGTTACGTTGAAGTTGTAAAGCAATTCCTTAAAAATGGTTGAGATTTTAAATTAAATTGAATAACTTACCGCATTTGATATACAAAAAATAAGTAACTCGTTTCCCAATCATTGGGTAATTTTATATTTATTAATCATATGACGGCTTATGTCCTAGATATTGTAAGCATTAAATTACACATGTTTATGCTGTGGTATCCTTTGAATAGTACTATGTATGTGTGTGGGTATTGGGACATACAATATGCACGTACGCTATTTATAGTTGCCCCGACCGCATTCAATCCTTTTGCATTCATCATCATGTTATCTTACATTCCTGTATCTTATTTATTTATTTGATTTGTTTTTCTTTCTTGTATTTTAATTTATCATATGCGGCTTCGAAATTCGTTGGCATCATTTGCGCCACACGCAAATCGCTGACTTATGTAGTAACATTAAATTTATGTGCGCTTTTACATGTACAAATCGATGCTAACCAATATCAAACGAATAAATGAATACACTTCATCATTTTACTAGGCATTCACTTATGGTATACTTGCTTATAACAACAATTCAGTTTATTTATTTGAACTTATTTTGTTTTAATTTAAACTTAGTTTTTAGTTATTTCTAATAACTTCTCGCTATGTGTTTGTCTATCCAAAAATCTTTACAATTAATTAACAAAAATGTACATAAGAAGACTACCAGGTGAACAATTTATGCCTATATCATATTCATTCATTTATTTATATATAACACACATATATATACCATATATATGTATGTATAGTTAGGCGGCCTTGTTAACTTTACCTGGATGTAAACACGGTTGTGCTGGCGATCCAGCGCAACAGCAGTAGGAAATACAGTCCAATTATATACTGCCAGTTGGCATGTGCACCACCGGCACCACCATGATGCAGCTCAGCGAAACTTTCGCCTAAGTGGAGTAAGGGTATAACATATATTTATTTTATTTATATAGTCATCTATGCTTACCATTTAGTATGTGCACTACTATGGTAAAATTTTGATATTCGCTAATGGAACAGGTGTAATTGCCCGAGTCGGCCTTATGAATCTTAGCGATGGATAAGGTGGAATTCGCCCCATCTTCCATCAGTTCAGTTTTAACACTAGGAGTAGAGGAATTTCACATGATATATGGGCAATTTACGATGCTTATTCGACAGCTACCTAACTCCACCTCGTGTTACATCATAGTTGAGCACATTATCGCTATGTTTCCAATATACAACGGAGCTGGTCATGGCCACATTTCGCACCACGCAGGACAGCTGCAGTGTGGAATCTATTTCATAGTATTTCTCCTGCAATGGATCTCCGTATTCATCCACAATCATCACCTTCGGAGCTGCGGAACAAGTGTCAATATTGAAATCAAGTAAATTATCATTTGTTTCTTTGTATTTCTTACCATTTACATGCAAATTAATTTGGATAACGCGGGGCGGATGTGTTGAGATCTGGCATTCATATGTCGCCTCATCGTCTTTTTTGACATTGATGATTTTCAGACGCCAATTGTTGGGATATTGAAATTCCATTTTATAGCGCTTATCACCGGTGTAGGCGTTCAGGCCCACAGTTAGCAAGTCCAGAGCATTCTCCTCGTTCTGCGCACTGCGACGCACCCAGGAGACCTGTCAAGGGCAATTTCTTGTAATTTGTTGTCTATAATCGCATTCATTCTATTACATTGCTGGCTACTTAAGCTTACATTATTTATGAGAATTGCATTGAGGGGCGGTTATGTTGAGGCATTGAATTATTGTGTACATACATTGTGAGGATTATTGAGTAAGTTCACAATCATCGGTTCTCTCTGTCTCTCGCTCTATCCCCCTCTTTTTCCCACTTATTTTTTTCTGTCTTACTCTTTCTCTCTTTCTTTCTCGCTCTCTAACTCTCACTCAATCTCTCCCGCTCTCTCTCTTCCTCTCTGTTGACTCTTCTCTCACTTCTCTCTGTTTAAGTCTATGCCTTATTTTTCTCTTTTCTTGTTTATTTTTTCTCTTTTCTAAGTTCTCTCTGACTATTTCCCACTTACGTGCTTTTCTCATTTGGTCTCGCATTTCATATTTTATATCTACTGCCCTTCTATGTGAGTCTCATGGAATTTAAGCCTCTGCTATTTCTTACACAACTGGCTAAGCTTAAGTAACTGCAAGTTTTATAGTATATTCTCGCATGCTGTCATAAATTTATAAGCAGCACTGCTCCATTTGACATATCTCAGAGCCTTAAACTTGTTTCGTAAAGCTAGACGAGTTTATAGTAAGTGGCTATGCTTACAGTCTTATCTTGCAGCAATGAAATTCTGCAATTTAAATGAATGCTGCTACCCGCCTGAACAGTCATATTTGTTGGTTGTCCGACGCGTTGCACGTCCTCGAAATGGGGCCCATATCTGTAAGGAAACCGAGCATATGTGATGTAAGTAAAAGGTAAACACATGTATATATATGTATATATTTATGTATGTATATGTATATAGTGTGCATTTTTATTGGTCAGCAGGTGTATGTAAGTAAGCCTACACAGACACATGCTCCCGTTGGTCTGTGCGTTCTTATGCTTAATGTTTATTGCTTGTAGCGAGAGTCTTAAAAACTTAAGTTTTCAAAATGTTTTACACAGCAAACCAAACGACCTTCAGTTAACTGCTGCTCCTCAGTATGGGTGGGTGGAGCATCGATGGTGTGTGTGTTCCACAATTATATGGTTGAACTATTGCATAAA